GGTATGATAAAAAATATCAATGACTCTACAGACAACAGCTATAAACAGAAAAATGCCTTAAAGGTGTGGGCAGTATTGTAGACATATAATTGCAATTAGGTAATATATTTGAAATGAAGAAAAGCAAGTAGCAAGTAAACAAACCAAAGTGACTGCCTAAGGATCTCTCTTATATATTTTGATTTTTAGACATAAAGTAAACTTATGGATCCTTAATGTATATATGTGTATGAGCATTTATATGTATGTTCGTATTTATCTATGTGTCCATTATGATGTGCTATGGCCTCGATGAATTAATTAATTAATTTATGCCATATTGAAAGAATGTAACTAGGATCCCATGATTAGAGTTATATACAGGGAGACTACAACACAATATCAAGATATTGAACAAGAAAAAACTACCCAGGGATTTAATGAGATGGTTTGCATGCCATTACAGGAGTGTGAAAGCAGGTGCTGAGTGACCAAATGGAGAAAATATCCTTGAGTGACTTCCGGCAATACATGGAAGGTTCTGGGATTGGTTTTCAGCCAACATTCATTCTACTGATCAAACAAGTCTTTAAAAAATTTTTTCCAATTTGTTGAAATAAGTGTTTCAATTATTGCCCACATATAGGTATTCCTGACTACTCAGTCACAACATTCACAAATTTCCTCTCCCTCTTTGCTTAAAGATGGCCAGCTAACATTTCTAATCAAATTAAGATGTCCTTGAATGCCACTGACCTTTACTTGGTAATCTTGTGATTAAAATAAATACTTTAATATTATATTAATTTTCAATTTTCAAATATAGAACTTACCTACTTAGAAAGGGCACTTGAGACAAGAAAAGAATATTGTCTCCCAGAATGCCTCGCTTTGAGAGCTCTGCTGGACTCGTCCATTCAAGTGGAGCCACAAAGATATACCAACCAATCATATAACAACAGCAACAACACAATAACACAACAGCAAAAACAACAATAATGTAACTGCAGCAAAATCATGTGCTTGAGTTATACTGATCGAGGGAGAGTGGGCTTTAGAAATCTCTCTCCTTAACTTAGTCTTATATTCATCAATTCTCATAGCCAGGAAATTATTGTTTGTGTCTGAAGTCTTTTGTTTCCTTTGCCTAAGGAGATATATCAGAAAAAAATATTGCTGTGAAGTCCAAGATTTTATTACCTATGTTTTCATTTAGGATTTTTATGGTTTTGAGTCTAACATTTAAGTCTTTGATCCATTTTTGAATTTATTTTTGTGTGTGACATAAAAAGGTGGTCTAGTTTCATTTTTCTGCATGTACTTGTCCATTTTCCTAACACCATTTGTTGAATAAACTATTTTAGCCCATTGTATATGCTTACTTCCTCTGTCAAATATCAATTGAATATAAAGACATGGATTTATTTCACTGCCTTATGACCCAGTGATTCCACTTCTGGGAATTTAACCAAAGAAACCTGAAACACTAATCTGAAAAAATATAAGCATCCTTATGTTCATTGCAGTGTTATTTACAATCACCAAGATTTGGAAGCAGCTCAAGTGTCCATCAGTAGATGAGTGGATAAAACAACTGTGGCACATTTATACAATGGAATACTACTTGGCCATAAAAAAGAAAAACATTTTACCCTTTGCAACAGCATGGGTGGGACTGGAGAACATTATGCTAAGTGAAGTAAGCCAGTCAGAAGAAGATAAATATCATATAATTTCACTCATATATGGAATCTAATGAATAAACTGAATTAACAAGCAAAATAGAGACAGACTCAGAGAGTAGAATGACAGCTCTGGGGGAGCTGTTAGAAGGTGGAAGGATCAAGCAAAAAAGAAAAAGGACGCCTGGACAGGGAGAACAGAGTGGGGATTGTGAAGGAAGGGAGATGGGTTGACGTAGAAGAAGGTAAAAGGGGGATAAATGGTAATGGAAAAATACAATAAAAGAGGAAACTAGGAAAACATTTTAAAAATAATAAAGTATTTCACCACGTTAGTATAAGTCATTTTCTTTTTCTTGATTCTCTGTAGATGAGTATCTCAATAACAGAGTGATTTTACTTCCCACAAAATGAGAAACAAAATAAAATCACAATAAGCTTACAGATCATGCATAAAACTGATCATAATGATGGACTCCAAAAAGTACCATAAAACAGGTTGGCAGTTACCTCTGCTGTGTTAAAAACACAGTATTTTAATAACAATAACATGCCAGTTTGCTCAAATAAAAGATGTTAACAGCCACATATTTTTATGCATTGGAAGGCAACAGTTAAAATAAAAATGATATACATTTTGTGCAGATCCATAATAATCTCCACACAATTTACAGATCATTTACTAGTTCTTACTGTATTATTGCAAGTAGTTTTGGTAGTCACTCTAGAGATGGATACAATCATAATGGAGCAGGGAAAACATAAAATTGATTTTTTTTTACTGTTCCAATGTAAGAGGATTACAAATTATTTCACACTTTTCAAGTATATACAACTTAATCTGATGTGTAATGTTGAGAATTGCTCAACTCTGCAACTATTGAATTTTGGATTTCTTTGAACAATTATGAATTACTGCATTGTATAGAGAATATATTATCTTACAGAAATTACCTTGATGCAATAACTACAATTTTATCTTGTCTTTCATTTCAGCTACATGCAAATAGGTTACATGGCTGAAGGAAGGTTGGTCTTCTATTTTGATTATGAAACAGTAAAACTGTAATTTCAAAATAAGTAACATCTGATCCAAATTTAATATATAGATATAAATATCAATATCCTATGGAAATAAACTCTTTTTCATTATCACCAGGACTATGATGACATTTGCTATTTTGCCAGCTGAGGCTCAAATTAGATAGCTCCATATGCAACAAAAACCCTGAGGCCTGTGTGGATCCTGAGGACAAAGGTGATTGTTTCAATTATTTTCCTTGAATGGCTTATCTAGCCTTGACCTCAGCATGGGACAAGATATTGGGAGCCCGATGCATGCAGCCATGTAATTATGCACTTAAGTCTATTTTCCTAATTAATTTAAATATGCATGAGACGCCCTCATGGCTTGCATCTGAAAATTCCCGTGGCCTGGTCACTGGATAGAATCAGGGCTCCCTGATGGGAGAGTTGATCACATCCTTCACGAGCTTTTGAAAGATGTCTTTTGGTAGAGGAAATTGAAGCCTCAAAATTTCAAACTTGGAGAAAATTTGGCCGTTTCTTTCTTTTTAAATTTTTTTAATTAAGAAAACAAAGTTGAAAAACTGCTGTCAGCAACTGCAAGTTTGACGGATGGCTACGGCAGAGTAAAAGAGTCCACAGGGTTATACACAGTGCCCCGACTAATGTGATAGATAAATCATTAACGAGGCCTGGACACCAGGATGAGAAGGGAGGAGCAGAGCTCAGAGGATCAAAAAGGCTTAGGGGTACAACTGGTGACATCTGTGCGAAATATTTCCAAGTATGTGCAGAGGGAAGAGCAGGGGGTGGGACTGACGGAGCCAACTCTTGAGACAAAGGAAGGGTTCAGCTATATTACCAGAGGGTCTCATGAAGCAATGACTGGCCTAGTGGCCCTCAATTCCACCTCTTGTCACCTGCAGGCTCACAGGCCTGGATCAATGACCCTGAATGTGTATCCATGTCTAGGATGCAGGTAATTTCTCAAATCCTAGAACATATTGATTCCTGCCCATCCTTCCTCTGTCTTTCATTTCTTTTTTGATGAATGTCTTTAAAAAATCTGCACTGTATTGGATAAAATGGAGCCCTGGCTCAGCTTGCAGGTCTCTCTGGGCATAGGCTGCTTTGCCACGCCTGTACAGACATGGTTTTTCCTGTCTGGAAAGTCAGGCCACCGGCCCTCTCAGTGCTCCTTCTGCAGGCAGCCCCCGTGCTCCCCACTGTGGACAGATGGAGGCAGGCTCGCTTGTGTTACTGAGGCTGTGTTCAAAGTCGGAGATAGATGCTAGTCAAGTAAGAAAAAACAAACAAGCAAACAAAACTACTCTTCCTCAATCAATACACAGCAGAGGTGTGTTTTTTTGTTTGTTTTTGTTTTTTTAAATGACATCCAATATAGGAAGGTCAGTGAAGTTAAATGGCCCACTTTACACTTGACCCTGAAGATGCAGAGTTTCAAAGAGTAACAGTGGCTTGGTCAGCAAGTGAGAGACCCCTGCCTGGATGTGAAGGTATCTGACTCTAAGTAAAAGTCAATAAGTTTAAAGGCAGAGTCGAGGAATTTAAGGATTTAAAGAAGAAATATGTAATGCGCTAAGCTAGACTTTGCTGAAGCAGCTAATTTTTCCAGATAAGCCATGCTTCTAGGTTTATTGTACACATTCCAAATTCATCGGTAGAAATTTGTCTGACTACTAATTTTCATTAAAACTTGATTCAGTTTCTGTTTTTTCCTTCTATTTATCACATGTATATTCCAAAAGAATGAGCTTACCATCCGACGACAATCACACACATTGGTTCACGCAGCCCAGACCAAACTCCAGGGGTAGGATTTGAACATGTGGTATGCTCCCCAGAAAGCAGGTATAAGGAGCCAAATGCACTCACACAGTATTTCAAAGGGACTTTGAGTTCTGATATTAATGTATTGTGAAATATCACCTAATTTTACTGGGAAATGTCTGACTCATTTCTTAGGTTCCCAGGTAGAACAAGCAATAGTTCCTGTGTATTGGTTAAAAGTTTTCTGGATTTCTGATGAATCAATGTGCTGTGCTGTCTAGACTATGTAGATTACCTGGATTTCCCACACTTAAGTGGCAGGTAGTAACATTCCATCAGAAGTGTTTCATGAATACAATATAGAATACACTCTTAAAACAATGTATGAAAGCCTTTGGAATTTCAAGACACAACAAATGTAAAACTTTAGATGAATAGCTTTCAACTAGCAAAATAAAATAAAGTTGTATTGTCTTTGAACCAAAAGCAATAGATGTGAAATAAGTTCATGGTGGTACTTACCACAGTGAAATTCATAACTTTCAATATCCATATGGTCATAGCTAAGTTAACTATCATGGTAACCAACAGCAGAAGGACAAAGAAGTATAAGCACCTCTTTCGCCATCCATAAATCCCCACTGGGTACAGCTGTGCATTCTCCGCCCTTGGCAGGCTATTCTGCTGTGTTGCTAGTATATACTGTTCTCGTGTCATCTGCAAAGCAAAAGGAAAGAAAGGGAAAAGCATTCAACATTAAAATCTACATGTTTTTAATCAAAAGATACAACATACCTAAGCATAATGGGTATTGAGTGCTCAGATAATTATTGCTATGTAATTAAAATTAGTTAACTCATCTAATTAAAAATAGTTCAAATGTTATAAATTCCCTCAACATATTATCATTAGTGTTATTTTTAGAGCGATTTAACTAGTTGCTTTATCTGTAGGATACATTATTTTTAGTCAGGTTTGCTTAACCCTAACAGTAGCCATTTCTCTCAGGAGTATCTCTGTTTTTTTGTTTTTTGGTTTTTTTTGAAAAGCAAGAGATTTAGTAGACATATCAAATGCCTCTAACAATTTTGAAGAGCAAATTGGATAACAAAAGGCCAAGAGAAAAGGATGTCAAGAAAACATGAAAAAATTGTTATTTAATGAAAGCTATTTTTATTATCTCACCTAAAAGGCGAATTTAACATTATTACCTTATATACCATCTTCATCACAAAATACTTTAGAGCACGTAAACTGCAGAGTTTTCTTTAAAAAATCTTTATTTCTTACATCTCACAGATTGTTTTTCAGGATTACAAAAGCTTTCAGTAGGTGTTACAGTGCAGGGCTGGTACCGCCAAAGAAGAACAACAGCATCTAACTCGAGAACCAGGTGTCAAAGTCATTTTCCCCGGGGGGCCACGTCACCCTCCTTAACAGTTAAAGAGTAGTCTACATTTATACAGTCCTGAAATTACATTTGGCCCTTTGAAGGGAACCACAGGCTAATGTAGCCCCAGGTGAAAAGGAGTTTGACTCCCCTGTTCTAGAAGACTGAGCCAACAATCCTAAATTGGAAACTTTTAAAACCTTTGCCTAAAATGTTAAATGTTGATCCCTTTTCAAGTACTGAGCGTATTCTAAAATATCTTGGTTGACATTGTGAGATTTCTTTAATTAAGGTAGAAAATTGTTTCACTAAGTGCTATTGTTATTCTAAATGAATCTATCAAACAAACCTACCATTGCAGAGAAATTTATTTTCTCCAAACAGCAGGTCTCCTGATGGAGAGAAAGATGATCACAGACTCTTGAGGAAAATAATCTGTACTGAGATATTTCTCTGGCTTAGTCCTCTCTACCCCACCTGCAACGTGAATGCAATACCCTCCAAAAATTTTCTTAGAAATTACTTTGGTTTTTGAGGTTGCATACACTCCTCCTGGCTACTTACAGTAATTAGGACTTTCCTCATTTCACTTTTGCAGTTCTATTTCATACCATATTTCATGTCGACAAAGGATTTGTCAGAATCAAATAACTTCTAAAATACAGTATTTCTTAGCTAATAGCAAGAAAGTCTTCATCTTCTTGGATCAAAATGATTATCAACATTCATAATAAGGTAAATGGACTTACTTACAATCCCTTGTAACTCAGGTAAGGGCTGATTTAAATTTCGACTTTGTACTTTCTATATAAAAATATACTTTTAAAATCCTGATAATGAGAATGAAATTTCTAACAAGATATTATGTGGGTAAATGAGAGATGCATGGGAAAATAGAATTAGACCTTGTACCATTTTCATCATTTTTCTCCGAAGGTACAGAAATCTGGTTTTCAGAAAGGTCCATTTTGTTCGGTAAATTTAATAACCTAGCAAATAAAGACTAGAAGAGAATGAAATATTCTGGAACAACCTAAACATAGTTCATAATTGATAATCTAACTTTGGAAAATTCTGGTGGAGTCTGCTGAGTGGATGGAATGGCTGAGATACTAACTAGAGTAGCAGAGACCATTAGTTATTACTCCCATACCTCACAGGAGGAGACAACGGTATAAAACACTGAGGCCAGAGAAATATACTAAGTATTCCAATCTAGCTGGCATTACTGTGTGTGTGTGTGTACATTCATATTCTGAGTAGGGCATAGTTGAGATTCTAGGCAAAAGTGAGTCTTCACTTGATAAAATATGTATTTAGTGACAACTGTGTGCAGGTAAAGTTCAAGATTGTTACACTCATGGATTTTACATATTTGGGGAAAACACAATAAATAAATGGAAAAATAACATATCAAATAGTAGTCTACTTTCAAGGCCATAATACATATATTAATATAACAAGTACAATAATATAAAATTAAAGATATGAATAAATGTATTATATAAATAATCAAATAAATACAATAATATAATATATACATTGTATGGGCAATATAATATTGAATAGTGAATACTGAATATATATTGAATAGTGAATAGTGAATATACTGACTCTATTACCTTGCTTATGAAGATAATAAGCAAGGTAATACAATGAGGCTACTGTAAATGTGATAAAAATAGAATGCCCCATAAACAGGGCACCTGAGATGAGACTGACATGATGAAAGTCTTCTAATAAGAAAGGTAAACATAAAATTTGTGAGTATTTGAAGGTCCAATTAGAGTGGGCTAACTGGAAAATGAAGTGCAGAGTGAGTTTGTGGATCATTTTCTGAGGGGGAAAGGAGCAAAAATAGGATTTCCTAGGAGAGAACAGTCTGCTGTTGGAGTATCAAATCAGGGGCCAGTGCATGTCTACACGCAGGTTATGAGACAGACGGAAAGGAAACGAGGACACTTAATCACGGGGCCAACTGTTGAGGTGACAGAGCTGGGCTCTGGGGCTGCTGAGTTGCATTCTCAGCAGTGTGGTGGTGGAGAGCTAGAGGCAATGACCAATTACTCAGGCATCTGGATCCCACAAACAAGTTGCAATTATTATAACTCAATGAGACCAGCTGTAGACCTCATACACTAGAATTCCGACCTGGAGAACTCACATCGCGAGCATATGCCAAGCTCAAGGTAGCTGTGCTGTGGTTAAAGTTTACGAGCCTGATGCGGGGCCAGGTGGCTCTGAGACTCGCCTCCTCCACAGCAGGCTTCTTCCTGTGGGCTCCATTACCAGACATGTGTTCCCTTTCAATTTCAGTCTCGGACACCTAGAACACCAATATGCGAAAGTCCTGTCTTCTCCTTTCTGACCCCTTCCAGTGAGGTTTTATTAGTTATTTTCTAAAATAGGGATGGAGAAAGGAGGGCATGTGTGAATATAATGGATGTGAGATCTTCCCAGATTGATAGGGAAAGCTACAGAAAACTTTACCTCTGCTACTATTTGTGAGAATGGGGGGAGGAGATAAGAGGCGAAGGAAGATTATAACGTCCATGTTTTACATTTCTGTTGGTTAAACCTAAGAGCTATTAATGCAACACCCTGTTTCATGTTCTGGAAGGAAGAAATGTGTGAAAGGATGACCAAGTGACCCACCCCAGGTTTGCATCCTTGTGACCCTAACGGGGAGGGAATTTGAACAGCTTCTGAAGTGGCAGCAACGCGAGAAGTTTGGAGGTGAAGTGTGGAGCACAGGTTTTTTAAAAAATGAGTTTTAGTAAGAATAGACTCTCCAATTTTACACAATAGTTTGTGGACATTTGAAAGTTAGTACACACCAAGGCATTGAGAACCTATTATCTGCACCCCAGTTAATTTTACCACTGAATTGCCAGTGTGGTTAATATGGGAAGCTTTGAAGAACCTTTGTTTACCCAAACCCCAAGCTCCCTAGGAAGAGCGATAGGTCAGTTTGGGAAAGTAAACAGCAGGATATTCACAAGGGCTAGGATTAGCACCCCCGAGGTTAGAACTAATTTCCGCATTTAGCCTTTGTACTCTGCTTCTGCCACATAGATAGAACTAACTTCCCTGTTCCGCTTCTGCATCTGGATTTGCTATGTAGACAGGAAGACCCGTAGACTATATAAACCCCAAGAATCCTTTGTTCGGGGCTCAGAATTTGGAGACTGACTCCTCTGGACCTGTGCACGTTAATAAACCTCACACTCCACAATCTCTCGGTGTCTGGTTGCTTCATTTTCCTGTAACATGATGACAAAGCTGTAAAGAGAACCCTATTTTATATCGGAAGTGATATAATTACTGTAACTGATTTTTAAATATGATGTTTAGCCATTTTTACAATACTACTTACATAAATACTGGAAATAATTCAGAGGTGTAAGCACAAAGACTGGAAGGAAATAGTGAATTACTTGTTATTTCACTCACTAATCTGATTCTTTATAATATTCAAATATAAATTGAGCATCTAATTTCTTAGACCAGCTCCCTGTGTTTCCTGTTATGGAAAACAAGAATGTAAAAGAGAAGCATGTGTCTCCTCGAAAATGAGCTAGAGGCCTGGAGACACTGATTTTATTTTCTGATTATTGGCACAGGTAAGCAGCAGTATGCGCCACCCTTGTGACCACAAAGATTGAATCTCAGCTCCAAACCCCCTTAACCTTCTCACTGAGAGTAGCCACATTCTGGAAGAAGTGGTAAATCACATTGGCATTGCTGTTCCTTGTGTTGTTTATGTAGATTCAACACAACAATGGCCTATTATTTGTTCAGACAATGGAGGGAGCACATTAGACTAGGCAGTCCCCGATTTGCCAAATGGCAAGCCCAGCCCGGTCCTCCCTTCTGTACTCTGAGGGCAACTCCCCTAGCTCTTCCCTGCTGTCTCTCCAGTTTCCTCAACTCTCAAACGAACATTACACTGACTTATGTAAGAGCAACATGGGGATAGAAAAGTGGGGTGTTAAAAAGCTTGTTCATTTTAAATGGTAAAAATACTCATTTTAAATTGATCATCTGCCCTTAGCTAATGGTTTCCTACTTAAATGCTGTGTAAGTATTTATATTAAAATATATTTTAAAATATGATTGAAATATAACTTTAAGAACAAAATGGTTGACGTGTCCAAATCATATGGTACGAACTTTAGAGGGTATAAAGGCTTTTCTTTTTCTGTTCTCAGAAAATGAGTCTCCAAACAGCTACCAATGTTGAGAGACTGAAAACAATATGGCGAAGTCCACTATCCAGGGCAGCAGAATCTCCCCCTTTTCTGTGGCATTTAATTCTCAAAGGCAC